ATACTCGAGATGGGCGAGGTACAACGATACCTTATTCTGGCCATGGCAGTATACAGGTCGTCCCCACTTGGCGTTGTAAGTGTAAAGGCCTTGGGGATATCGTAGAGCCCGTAGAACTCCTTGAGCTCTCCGATGCAAACCTTAGAGCGGATTGGCCGAAGAAGAGCAATTCTCTCCTCATTGCGGCCAGTGTTGGAAGTTTGAGATGCCATTAGAGATGTTTATTGCAAGGAGATTTGGAAAAGTTGTGAGAGACATGTGTCAAATATTTAGAGCAAAAGTTGGTAAAGAAGTTCTTTCTTCGCTACCGATGGGTTATATATAGCACCCAAGAAGGACACATGGAATTATCTGAAGGGTTAGCTCATTTTAAAATGAACAGATGGGATACACCTCAAAATCCCAAACGGTTCACATGAAACTCAAAGCGCTGTCTTCTTTACTCCACACCTCTTCGCTTGAAAATGGAAGCAACGCTATAACTTTCTGGCTTCTCATGATGTAAGCACGTCATTTCAAATAATGATGTTTCATCTGCCTAATAAGGCTTCTGAAAACTCACCAACCGACGTCTATTTGATGAACAGTCGGCCAAACCTAGTCAACCCTCTGGTGTCGACAACAGACTTCTATAGAAGCCAGCTTATCAAACTCAGGCACTCGCCCCAAAGAGCTCAAACGCCAATTACCAAAGGCAGTTGACTCGACTAGTTCCAAACCAAAGAGAAGACAAGATAAACAACTGCTCAAGTTCAATACGTGCTTTCCTAGCAAAGGACGAGCACCCTCAAGTCAGCAGTCTAGCTCACAAGTCTATGGTAAAGCCAATTCATCCAGAAGATACAAATTGAGATTGCATAACACAAGAAAAATAATTCTGGCTCCAAATCTCTCTTTATTCAAGTCTATGGAGTATTTACAAAGTACAATGTATACATATATACAATACAAAAGCGAAAGACAATAGATTCCTAGGAGACTAAGAGAGGTCCATTCCCGCTCCTAGAGTTGGAGGCAAGGAGCCGCTGGGAGCAGCCGGCGAAGGATTCGAGCAGTCTCCTCCTTCGTCCGACTCACCCTCTTCCTCGCCAAGATCGAGTCCCCCTCCAAGTGCTTCCACCTCCACTAACTCGTCCAAACAGTTGGCTACAATGGGAGGATAGTGAAAGCAATCGGGTGGGTTCCTCATCTCGACGGGAAGTTGTGCCGAGAGGTAGTCATACCCAGCCTTGCAGGCTATTGTCACTTTAGTCTTTCCAGTTAGGCTTTGGCAATAACCCTCAATGATCTCCTAGCGGTAAGACTCTGACTTGAGATGGGAATTGTGGCTTTGGGCTCCCGCCAAAGACTCCTGCAAGTGGGCGACACCCCCTGGATCTTGACAAGCATTTCATGCTCCTCATCCAGCTAACATCTCGCATGCGTTGCCACCTCCTTCTCCATTTCTACTAGCGCTATAGCGTGGTCCATTTCCTGAAGAGCCTCCTCCATTCTCCTATCCTTATTCTCGCTCTCCTCAAGCTCCAGTCTGAGCCTGTCGACCTCAGAAGCGTCTGGGGCTGCGTCTCGGCAGCCTGCTCTGAGTCGACCCTTCTGCCGACCATCAGGGAAGTAACCTCGCCTAGAAGCTTGAGATATGTAGTCTGAACCCATTCTATCCAGCCGTATAACTCCATCTCCACCAAAGTGTCTTGAACCAAGTACCAGCGGAGGCTTAGGTGGAGACCAATATTAGGAACCCCTTGCAAAAACTCTTCATCTCGAGGAAGCTAGAATTGCTTGACCTCCTTTGACTGAGTTCGGCGAGAGCCTAGGACAGTCCCCCTGACGTCGAGATGGTGATTAGGCTTGAATCGGTGCTTCAGGTTGGGCTCTTACCCATATCGAGAGCTGACCCTTGAAATCTCGATGAGGTATTGCCTCATCCTCTCCCATTCTTCTTCTCCGATGTCAGCAATGCGGTGGAAAGGGATATTCTAGCCCTGCGGGATGCACCATCTCCTCCTCGATCGGCTCCTTTGCTCAAGGGTTTACATGGATGATCTTGTACGGCTTTATGACCTTTATGACATCCCCAAGACTTTCACATTGGTTGCGCTTGAGAAGAGTGATCCAGTGTATAGTCATGGTGATAATCGAGTGCTTTTATATATGATCCATTTGGAGCATGGTCTAAGACTGCCCCTCCACCCTTTCATTAAGGAAGCACATGTTGCTTTAGGGGTTTCCCCTTCCCAGTTTTACCCGAGTACGGTGGGGATTGTAGTGGCTTTCATAGTTATCTGCCACCTCGTTGAAGTCCACCCGAGCATAAGGTTGTTGGGGCATCTAATCAATGTTGGATCAGCTGAAAAGGATCCACACTACTTTTACCACTATAGTGGTGATTTCCAGCTTATTACCGACATTTTGGAGTCGAGTGAAGACTGGAAAGAGGAGTATGTGTGGGTTTATGGTGTCGATAGTGTTTTCACCTGCCCAAATTGGCCTGAGGAGAATAAGGACGTGTTGAGTCCGGTCACCCTAAGCGACTTGGAAAGGAGGCATTTGGAAAAGATTCTTTCCTATGCCGGATGAAGGGAATGATCTTCTTGCTACAGCGTCTCTTCGAGTGGCGGGCGTATCCATGATCTCACCCTCCATTGATTATCAGGTGAGGGCGAGACTTTTTGCTTTTCCTCTGACGGAGAATCGTAAGAGAAATTGTAGGGGATGAGGAGTTAGGTTTAGCAACCAGTCCCCAGAAGAAATTGAGGAGGGTCCTTGGCTAAAGAGGTAGCTGGCCGTGGTGATATGATTAGGGATCTTCCTAAGCACGGCTTCGACCAGACGATTACTCTTTCCAAGTCTGACCATAATTTGATTTCTCGTTTACTGTCAGAACCGGGTAAGAGTCAAGCCACAAGACCAGTCGCTGAAGCTGGTTCATCTGCAGGTATGCATCTTACTCCAAAGTTACTTCTTCAGTTGTTAATTGTGAGTAATTATGTGGGAGTTTTGATTGTAGGATCAGTCACTGGTGCTGATGTAGGCGTCAAAAATTGCATATATGTCCTTGAACACAGCTCGAGACGGAAAGAAGACGAAGAATGTCATCATTCTAGTCAAAGAGTATTATCTGACGCCGATAAGCTCATGAAGTGAATCGGCGAACTGTTGATGACGTAGCAACAAGCCACCGCCAAGTAGTCCGAGCACTCACCGGTCAGCTCTGAGTGGTCCGCGCGTTTATCAGCTAGTTCCGAGTGGCCCGCATGCTCACCGGCCATCTCCAAGCGGCCAACGCACTCGTCAACCACCTCCAAGTTAACGAAACGCATGAAATGAATCAATGAAGCATACAAATCAACGAAACGAAAAAATGCGCGTAACGACAAGTTAAAACCCGGAAAACCGAAACAGCCCCTGGCGGCCGAGTCGCATCAAGGCCGAGCCACCATTTGGTGGCTCG